GATTTCATTCATATGTGGAATTTAAGAAACAAAACAGATGAACATGTGGGAGAGAAAAAAAGAGAGGGAAATAAACAAGAAACTCTTACAATAGAGAACAAACTGAGGGTTGATGCAGGGAAGTGATGGGGGGGGTGGGCTAGATGAACGATGGGCATTAAGGAGGGCGCTTGTCAGGATGAGCACTGGGTGTTGTCTGTAAGTGAGGAATCACTATTCTACTCCCGAAGCCAATATTCCATTATATGTTAACTAACTAGACTTTAAAAAAAAAATTTAGAGAAAAAACTCCAGAGTTCTGGTTCACTCCTAGAGCAACTGGTAGAAATTCAAGCAGCTTTGAAAGTGTTGTTTTGTCCCAACAAAAATGACACACAAAGCTCTCCATGCTCACCTCTCAGCCTCATGTTCCCACTTTGTCCCGCACTGTACTCTGTACTCTGCACTGAAGCCACACCGAGTATTGTGTGTCCTGCAGTCACAGAGCTCTGGCTCCAGGCCCTGCAACAGGCCATTCTGCTGCAGGGAACACTCCAGCTCCCCCCTTGCCTTCCCTGCCCAAAGCTTCCTCTGTCCCACTCCATCATCCCTCTCATCCAGGCCGAGAGATCGCTCTTTCTAGCAACCTTCTTAGACTCCAAGCCTAGTTGTCACTGGACTCCTCAAATGAGCCCTATGCATGGGGGCCTGAATGAGTAATTCATGAAGCTGACTAGGGCAGTCGTTCCCACCTGTTTTATTACTGAACCACCCTCCCACCCAGGGTCTTTTAAGACATTTTTCATCTAGTTCTCATACTTCTCCCCCATGAAAATTTAATAGCACATATATACCATGTGTCTGTTTATGTACCGTGGACCTTTGGAGGTCCACAAACCATTATCTAATAGCTAAGATTTTACATAATGTTAAATTATATGCAATTTTTTTCTCTAGAAGGACCAATTTTTGTCCCCTTGTGGGTGACACTGCCCCCATTGAGCATGCATGGAATTAAATAAAATTCTGCTGGTCCTCTTGAGAGGGCTAAGGAAAAAAACAGTGCACATTCTTTCCTGATGAAAAGCTTATGTATATGCTGAATAGGTGAAGGAAGATAAAGTTAAAGTGCAAACTTAGCAATGAGGCTGACCTTGACCTAAACAAGGGCAGAGTCAGTGGAGGGCAAAAGTTACTCTGCAGCAGTGTGGAGGGTGGCTGCTGAATACAGACCACAAATCCAAGGAGATGGGCTGTGAGGGGACAAAAGTAAGTAGCTTGAAGGTGACAGAAAGTCTAAGAAATCTTGTTTTAAAAAGATGGGGCACACTTGACTTTAGGCTGATAGAGCATGGATACTGAGAGACTGGAGAATACCCAGGAAGGGGTAACTGGCTGGATGAAACCCCAGAGGAGGGGAGAGGGGACAAGGGAATCATGAGCAGTGTAAAGAGGCTCCTCTCCCTCTGAGATGTCTGGGTATCAATGTATAAGGGCCTCAGGGGAAGTCATTTCATCGGGGAGAGTGAGACAGGGACACAAGGGGAGGCCTGAGGAGTGGAAGACATTTACAGTATCCACTTTGGAGAAACAGGAGAAGCTGATCGAGGTACACAGAAGGATGGCCAAGTGGCATCAAGGGCCAAATGAAATAAGTACAAAATCTGTAGCAGCTTAATGTTTTTTCCCTGTCGTTTTCTAGGCACTCTCTCAGGTGGTAGGAATACAGTAGTGAACCCTAGTTTCTTTTCTTTTTTTTTAAGCTTATTTATTTTTAAGAGAGAGAGAGAGAGAGAGAGAGAGAGAATCTGAAGCAGGTTCCAGGCTCTGAGCTGTCATACAGCCTAACATGTGACGTGGGGCTCGAACTCACAAACCATGAGATCATGACTTGAGCTGAAGTCGGACACTTAGCCGACTGAGCCACCCAGGCATCCCCTAAGTTTTTGACCTCAAACTGCCATTGTCTGCCTTCCCCAACTGGAATATAAATTCATAAGTAAGATGGCGTTATATACTGGTAATGGTGATGAAGATAAAAATAGAGTAATATAATGGAGTGACTACTGGATGCTCAGGAAAGGCCTGCCGGAAGAGATGACCTTTTACCTGAAGCCTGAATGGTACAAAAAGGGCAATCTTGAGACATTCTGAGAGTGGAACTTTCAGAGCAAAGAGGACTCCAGCACAACTGGCCTGAGGAAGAAACAAACTTGTAGTGTTCAAGGTCAACAGTGTGGGTGAATCATAAGATCAAGGGAGAGAGGTGAGGAGGAGGTCAGCAGGGACCGAGTACTGTTGAGCCTTGAATAGCTGCCCATACCCTGAATGGTTCAAAATCCAAGTATAACTTTTGACTCCCCCAAAACTTAACTACTAATAGGCTTCTGTTGACTGGAAGCCTTACCCATAACATAAACAGTCAATTAACACATATTTTGCATGTTGTATGTATTATACTGTATTCATACAACAAAGTAAGCTAGAGAAAAGAAAGTGTTATTAGGAAAATCACAAGGAAGAGAAAAATACATTTATAGTACGATACTGTATTTATCGGGGAAAAAAACCCACAGCGGATAGACAGTAGGACTAGAGTTGGGGCAGAAAGACCAGTCTGGAAGCCTGGTAGATTCTCCAAAGGGAGAAAGGGCCAAGGTAAGTTGATGAGGGAGAGGGGGCAGTTCTGGGGTAGGCAGGGCCAAAGGGTAGTTTTGGGAAAATGCTGGGAGAAGTCTTGGATGCTGCATCAGATGCTCACTTCTAACCCCAGCAACTCTCACACACAATCCCACTTGGAAACCCCACTCACATCCGGTCCTCCTTGCCTATTTTAGAGGTCCCTGGAGACAAGAAACTGTAAGATTAATTGGATACATTTTCCTCTGCCCACCCTAACGTATTTTTTAAAAGAGTTTATTTTTTAGAGCAGTTTTAGATTTTAGGTTTTCAGGTTTTTTTTAACAAGCTTTCTTTTTTCACCTTTTTTTTTTTTGAGAACAGGGTTGGGGGAAGGAGGGATGAACAGGTAGAGCACAGAAGATTTTTAGGTCAGTGAAGCTACACTGTATGATAGTATGAGTGGATACATGTCATTACGCACTTTTCTAAATTCATACAATGTACAACCCCAGGAGCAAACCCTAATGTCCATTGTGGACTTTGGGTGATCGCGATGGTCAGTGTGGATTCACCAGTTGTACCAAATGTACCTCTCTGGTAGGGGATGCTGACAGTAGAGGAGGCTGTGCATGTGTGGGGGCAGGGGTGTCTACTATTTTAAAGCCAAATCCTTACACTCGTGTCTATTTCCTGCCACCAGCACTGAGCTCTATTCTTACCCCTCAGAGCAGCACGGATGAAAAAACACCTCTCAATATTTTATGAGGCAGAGGATATTAACATATCTAAAAGAGTACATTTTTCCCTCCAGGGCCACCAATCTGTAAAGTGCAGGTGAAAAAAAGCTGAGCATGCACAGCATTATAAGGGCATGTTCTTAAGTACACACCAAAATGTTCGTGGAGGTTTTCAGAGTAATAAAAAGGAGCTAAGGGAGATGGTTCCCTTCTGTTTCCTGACATTTAACTTTTTTTTTTACATTTATTTATTTTTGAGAGACAGAGAGAGACAGAGAAAAAGTGGGGGAGGGGTAGAGAGAGAATAAGACACAGAATCCGAAGCAGGCTCCAGGCTCTGAGCTGTCAGCACAGAGCCCAACGAGGGGCTTGAACCCATGAACCATGAGATCATGACCTGAGCCAAAATCAGACATTTAACTGACTGGAGCCACCCAGCCGCTCCAGAAAATGGATATAATTTTTAAGGAAAGTTATTCCTGAGTCTACCTGATCCAGAAAATACTAACTCTGAGGAGTAGAAGTTTTCTATATGTTAAACCTGCTTGTGCATTTGTACATTAAGCACACTGTTAGAACAAAAAGCACAAACATGTTCATTGTGAAAAGCCATTTCTCCCTCCAGTCCCTGCCTCCCAATCACTATCACCATCACATGAGGCAGCCACTGCTCCAGCCACATATCTTTCAGAGAGGTTCTATTTATATAAGCAAATACCTACTTATAAAAAAACCATAAATAGTAGCATATTATATGCTATTCTGGACTTTTCTTTTTTACTTAGCATGTCTTGGAGATCCTTCTCTAGCAGTGAGTAAAGAGTTGCCTCATTTTGTTTCAATGTAAGTTGAATATAAAGGGTATGATAGTTAAGAAATTAAGTGTCATTTATTTTTGTCAGTTTAATAGCAAAGCTACAACTAGATTCATCCTTAGCTTTCTGGGCTTAACTATCAAATAGTTCAACATTTTAGCATTTTCCTCTCCCCTGTGGCTTTATTTTCATTACTAAGTTCACCATTCTATGCCCCACTCAACCCCCATCTGAGGTTTGACATCATTATCTAACTTAGTCAACTTATCTCATTTTTGATGAGTCAAATGTAATAAACCCAGATGACTTGGCTCAGCTGTCCTTTCAGGACGAATGATGAAAAGATGAAAGGAAAGAAAATGTGTAGGACAGAGGGCTGAGAGCTTGCTGAATGTCTGAAATTTGAATACGTGTGTGTATCTTAATTCCTAGTCAATTATAGCCACATTCATCCCTCCTAGCTTTGCGCTTGGAGACAAGGGGGACTGCAGTCTTAGCTCATATTATGAGTGCCCATCTCTGGACTACTGTAAGAAGTCACAGTCCCTTAGATCACTGCAGTTCACAAGGACAGGCACTCAGAAATTCTGTAAATGGGTTTCTGATTTTAATTCTCTCTTTCTCTTGAGGTAACCAAAGCAGACCCGTTTGCCAAGGATAGCTGAGAATGTAAGGGCGATCCTTGCCTGGGCAGCTTGAGCCGGCCGTGTGCTAAATGCAACTTCGAACCATATCCTATAAATAGCCGTTCATTGTCAGCGCGGGTGAAAAGACAAGAGTGGGTGTGTGGCGGTAGGATGCAGGCCTAATTAAGGAGTTGCGTCTGCGCAGGGTTCCAAGCGAATAGCTGTTGGGACTGATAATCTCGTCAGTAGGCAACTGAGAGGGTTCGCTCCTGACGGCACATAGACGGAAGCGAAGCTGTTCAGTGCTGGCTTTGACTCCGACCATGGCAAAAATCATCTTGAGGCACCTCATAGAAACTCCAGTGCGCTACGAGGAGGAGTTTGAAGCTCGAGGTTTGGAAGACTGCAGGCTGGATCATGCTTTATACGCGCTACCGGGGCCAACCACGGTGGATGTGAGCAAAGCCAGGGCGGCCCAGGTGCCTCGGGTGGACTCAGTGGCGGAGATACCGACCGAAGAAGGCAAGTCCCGCTTCCAGATCCTGCTGGACGTGGTCCAGTTCCTCCCCGAGGATATCATCATTCAGACCTTCGAAGGCTGGCTACTGATCAAGGCTCAGCACGGAGCCAGAATGGATGAGCATGGTTTTATCTCAAGAAGCTTCACCCGCCAGTATAAACTGCCTGATGGCATTGAGACCAAAGATTTGTCCGCCATCCTCTGTCACGATGGAATTCTGGTGGTGGAAGTGAAGGATCCAGTTGGGACTAACTGACATAAATTCCTGTTCATTTGGCTCCAGGAAGATGGCAGTACAGCCAATGGTACCACCTGGAATGTTTGTATTAACCATATTTGAAATGATTTTTATGAAGATTAAAAGTATAGACATAGTTCCTGGTATGTTGAGGTTGTTTTTGTTATTCTCACTCAGAGAGGAAAATTGTTAATGCTCCTACAGTTCAAAAATGATGCTATTCTTATAAACAGTGACAGTTTAGGAGATGGGTTTGATGCTAGTAAAGACTTGGAATTATTTCCTCCTTACTCCAACAATGCCACAGAATATGCATTTGTAATAATTGATGGCAAACTGATATCTTATCCATTTTATAAAAACGTTAATATTGCTAAAAAAAAAAAAAAAGCTGTGATTCCCTTTACTTGACAAGCTCTTCAGTGAATTGTAATTGAAGTGGAACTTTGTAAATACAGAATTTGAAGGTTAAAATACAGTACTTAGAAATTGGATCTGAACTATATTTATGATTCAGTATAGCTATTACTGCCTTAAACATAATACTAGAATTTTCAGATACAAATTTTATTTTTATAAAGCTCTAAATATGTACCCCATTTTTAAAAAGCTGAACTGAATCCTATTTGAATGTATTTTTGACAACAGCATATGTTCTGTAGATATTTATGCGATAGTACAAAGATACTGTTGACTCCTACTCCTATAAGTTCGTGTATTAAGAAACCACTTTTAAAAGTACAGTTACTGAATTGAAGAGTTTTAATCTGTGTTCTCTGAGGCTATTTAAAATTTTAGATTTCAGAAGATGGCAAAATGTACTACATCTGCTCTCTCTGCATAATCCTTGGCTTTAAATAGCCTGGCAGGTCCGGTAGGTTCCCAGGCCTCAGCTTGCACAGGGGGCTAAGTTTCTACAGCGTACTGCCCAGGGCTGCTTGGGCTAAAGGGAAGGGCTGAGACGTTGTTGGAGGGTAAGGATTTGCTTTAGGAGTACTGCCATCAACAGTTGGTCTCTGTGTCATTCCAAAGATTTGCTGTCTCATTCTGTACATGCTAAATATTTCTCGGGAGGAAGTAGCCGCCTTTACCCCGCACTCACCGTGTGCTAACGGGGAGCCTGTGCACAGTGCTAGGAATAGAAGAGGCTGGGTGTGGAAAAAGCCAGGGTGGACCCAGGCCACTGACAGCACCCCTGTGCTCCTCCACAGCGCGTGGTGTGCAGTTTGGGTGAAAACAGGAGAGACACGAAGCAACAGAAAAAGAAATCAAACAGTTCTAAGAGTAGCTTTGGAAACAAATGTGATCGGAGAGATCTGTTTACAATATAATTAAACTGAAAGAATTGTGAAGCTATATGTTAATGTTTATCCACTGAGGTCTGTGCATCTAACTCTAAGAAATTTTGTTAGACAAAGTGAGTGTCATGGATCAGCTTTGCCTCATTAAAAAGATAATCGTAATTATTGGGATTACATCTACTAATATGATTAGAGCTGGCATACCATTTGTCCCATATTAGATTCTTTCCCAATGATTGGTAGGATGGTGTGAAAACCAACTAGTGCTTTGAGCAACCAACCAACCAACCAACCAACCAACAAAAAGCCCCTCATTTGCCCTTAACCTTATTCTAGATCAGGTCCTACTTCTGGGAAAATTCAGGAAATAAAATTCTTACCATGAGGAGCCACCTATAGAAACCTTTCCTTTAAAAATAAACAGTGAAGGGGTGCCTGGGTGGCTCAGTCAATAAAGCATCTGACTTCGGCTCAGGTCATGATCTCATGGTTCGTGGGTTCGAGCCCCGTGTCAGGCTCTGTGCTGACAGCCAGCTCAGAGCCTGGAGCCTGTTTCAGATTCTGTGTCTCCCTCTCTCTCTGACCCTCCCCTGCTCATGCTGTCTCTCTCTCTCAGAAATAAATAAAAACATTTGAAAAAAATAAAAAAATAAACAGTGAAATAACCACCTCACCAATTAGTCTTTACTTGTTTCTAAGATAAATTTTAAAGTATTATACAGCCATTTTTTTCATTTGGAAAATATACAAAATACTATAACAAATAAAAACGATTTCTTATTCTTTTATTACCATGAAGTTGCTACGTGAAGTTTCTAGTTCGGTGTTCACCTATGCGTAAATACCTGTATCACTTTTCACAAGATTATATTTCAATGGAGTCTGATATCCCAACGGTCCTGCTTACTGTCTCTTGTCTGCCTCACTTTGTGCCAACCCAAACCCAGCTTTGCCCTCGTTGGCCCCACTCTGAGCCCAAGCAGGCTGACGCAGATGGGCCACATCATTCTTGTTTCCAACTGGGTTCAGCCAATGGGAGTGCTGACAGTAAACCAGAGATAGATTAGTGGGTGGGAGGGGGGAGAGGGCGGGGCATATCCTTCGGTCAGCCTGCCACAGATGAGCTGTAGGGAGTCCTGTGTCCCTCTGTGACTACGCCTCTGGAGAGGTGGCTGCTCCTTCAGGGCTCCCACTTGTGCTGGGCTCAGGTGTCTTAATAGTTTCTTCCTATTGTCCCTTCGGCATTTAGGGTGGTCACGTCTTTTGCTTTTCTTGTTCTGGGTGCTTCACCATCCCCTACTGATGCTCTTTACTTGTCCGCTTTCCCATAAATGGTCCCTTCATTAAAGTTCTTTCAGGTGATGGAATTCTGATTCCTGCCAGAACTCTGACGACTTCCTTTTTTTTAAGTTTATTTATTTTGAGGGTGGGGGGAATGAACAAGCAGGTACGTGAGAGTGGGAGAGAGGCAGAGAGAGGGAGAGAGAGAAATCCAAGCCTATACTTAACCAACTGAGCCACCCAAGGCTCCCCCTGACTGCTTGACTTTTAAAGTGATTTTTTTTAAAGTACGTCACTTGCTTTTACTACCAAACATTAACTGATTTGTAATGGCTATGCACTATTCCAACAGAGATAAACAGTAGTCTAATTTAACCATTCCTTTTTTACTACTGGCCCCAACAGGAAACAGATAGCAATGTCAAAATGGAAATAATTTAAATATGAGTGATTTACTTATAAAGAGATACACTCCAAAGAAGCTGGCAGGATGAAGAAGAGCTGCAAGGGGGCAGTGTATAAGCTGAAGGTAGCAAGGTGGAGCTGTTATATCCCCCGGGTCCAGAGGGGTCCAGAGAGATGGCAGGAGGAAGCAGATCTCAGAAATCAAGACAGTCAGATGGAGGAGACCACTTGCTGTGACTTTCATATGACGGACACCACCAGCCCCAGGTGACCTCTCTGAGGCACCAGAAGAATAATTACTTTCTTCCTGTAATCTCCAACCAGGGCACCCTATTGGCAAGACTTAAGTGGCAGCCAGAGGGCGTGGGCACCCTGTTAATAGAGTTCACATCCTCCCAGGCCAGAGGGCAGGATGGAAAAAAAGGTGGAGAGTGACTCCTGGGGGCAATGGGAAGTGTCCAGCACTCCTGTGAAGTGAATACTGTTGGTATAACCCTCTTAGAAAAACCTGTCCTCCCAAATACAGTCTGAGACAAGGACTGAAGTTTGGTAAGGGCATGCCCAGAATGGTGAAAGTGAGAAGTTAGTGGGGAAAGAGGCAAGGAAAAAAATGGGAAACAAAGTGAGATGATGTGTTGCCATGCTGGCCCCCACTGCACATTGAGCTATGAAGAGGCTCAGCAGGCTCTTGGCATGGATGCTGGCTTAGTACCTGGAACTTCTGTCGAAGATCTTTGGGAAGAAATAAAATCTTAAAGCAAACCACAGGCAAGAAAGAAGAGGGAGTTTGCTTGCCTCGATCCCTACTATTTCTTGTTTCCCCTTTGTCGAGGGTTAGCTCACAGCATGTAGACTCTCCTGCACTTCTGGCATGTATCACCCAACCCCTTAGTGGCTGCTCAGAAAACCAGACCCCCTGTCCCATGGTGTGACATTTCATCCATGCTGGGAGCAGAAGGATAACTCAGCATGATCAGGGCTCACTCAGGGTGAGAAACACAGGCTCGGGGTTTCAACTTGGCCTCCAGCCACCTTAGGAGACTTGGCAATGGCTCTGGTGGCAGCAGCATGGTCTGGGAGGCAGGTGACACCCTCAGAAAAGAGAAGGCAGATGGAAAGGCACACAAGGCTTGTATTCACCATGACTCCAAATCTAGAATTGCAGGAAAGGGGAACCAGGCAAAACACACAGGCCTACAGCATCTATTGTCTCCGTACCCCAGACTGCCTTCAAAATTTAGGGACTGTAATATCACCTTATATTTTGATCTAATTCTGTATTTGCTTAAGTGTGAACATCAGTCCTCTTAAACTTCAGGATTTTTCTTTTCCTGTAGATTGTGGATCAAAGATTTGTTTTTGTTTTAAGCCACCATCTCTTATCCTGGTAGCCCAGAAGTCATTGAAGACTTTAGTTCCCACTGACCTCCCTGAGTCCAAACTGGGATCCTGAACGTATCCTTGCCTTACGTCTCACCTACTTGTGATGGTCTGAAAATTGCTGTCAGTAGTCTTTTAGCACATACAAAAAGTGATTTTACAAAACACAAATGGTATGATGCCTGGGTGGCTCAGTTGGTTAAGCGTCCAACTTCAGCTCAGGCCATGATCTCGTGGTTCATGGATTCAAGCCCTGCGTCGGGCTCCGTGCTGACAGCTCAGAGCCTGGAAACTGCTTTGGATTCTGTCTCCCTCTCTCTCTGCCCCTTCCCCACTTACACGCGCGCACGCATGCACGTGTGTGTGTTCTCTCTCTCTCAAAAATAGATAAACATAAAAAAACCCCACACAAATCATAAACAACCTCAGGGGAAATAAATCAAAACACCTCGTATCATTTCCTCAGTCTTAACAAAAATCTTTGTCACTAGTCACTGCTGTTTTCTGCAGAGATTCTCAAATAATTATTTGGAAAAAAGAATAAAAATGGTGGTTTGGTACGCTATTTTACAGCTCACATATCGCATGTTGAAAATAACCGTTTTAGCAACTGAGTTGGCCAGATGTCCTCCCTAAAATATGAGACAGTATTTTAAATTTGAAAAACATATTCTGCTAAGTAAGTGCTTTCTTCTACATTTCCTCAGCATTGTTTAGTACACAAGAGCATGCATGTATATATGCAATATTCTTATAAAATCCTGTGTGATAA